GGTAAAATAATATTATGCAGATTATTTGTATAAATACTTCACAATTTACATTGCCCAATATACTTCGGCCATTGTATACAATGCCCGGTCAATGTATACAATGTCCGGCCATTGTATACATTGTCCGAATTTTCCACTTTGCCCGTAACATATATACGGAAATTCGTGGGACCCTATTTAGGGGGGGGGGGGTTAACAGCAGTATGAGCGATGTTTCACCGGGTGACTATTTTATTTTTAATGTCATTATTGTTTTAATCCCCTCATAACTTCTTTAGCTTATTTCCCACAATTAATTTAATATTATTTTGTTATTTTTAAAAATAATTTATACGTTTATAATATTACAGGTAATAGTTATTAGCATAAATGTCATAGTTGCAGTATTAAACATCTAAAGTGATATAACCCACCATCAATTATTATGGTAATATTATAATATTAAAGAAGTCCCAATCCAGGAAGAAGATTTAAATTTAAAATTTTAAAATTGTCATTTCTTTTAACAAAAGTTAATTTTATTATAAAAATAATATTTTAAAACTCTTACGTTATTTTTATTCCCCTGGAGCAATAAATTCCTAAATGTCCTAAATATCCTAGACATATGCGTCGGCTTTGCCGCTAAGTTGTCTGCAAGGCATCGTTCGTTTGTGATTTTGGGTTTTTTCGATTCTGGTCACATTTCACCACCTTGATCGTGATTTTTCCAAAAATACGTCTGTGCGTGTGTGCTTTTGTTTGTGTGTGTGAGTGTAAAGTTTGAGGCACGTGTATATGGTTATCGATGTGGTGGTCGTACGAGGGTGGGGGGGGGGAGGGAGCTGGTGGCGTTAGGATAATAATATCTGGTCGCGCTAATGAAAGCTATTAAAATGCGAGCAAGCTCTTTTTCGTTTTCTCTTTTGCTCGTACTTATTTTGGTTTACCACTCACTCCCCCACACACAGCGCTCGCGGCTCTTCGACCCACCCTACCAAAGGCCCGCCACACCGCACCTCCGCCCAATTTTTTCCTCTTTTACTCCCGAGTAACACCCACCCATTCGAAAGGCAGCGCGCGCGCACGTTCGGCCACGTCCCCTCGATTCTCCGTTTCTTTCATTTTTTCGTATTTTCTTTATTTTTGTTCCACACTCCGCCGCGCCCTTTTTCTTCAGAGTACAACTCACCTCTACCCCGCACCGCCATCTGAACTGTTCGACTAGCGCCAACCAGCCACCGATATACCTGGCCACCGACGCCGCGGCCGCTAATCACAATTCGATAACATGACTACCTATATCATTATTCGATTGTCGGTCAGTTATCCAAGATTTAAAGATAGTCAATAATATATAAAGCGAAACGCAACAGCGAATAATTAAAAAGTTGAGTGCTCGTTAAGCTCTCTCCCACCAATCGTCTGCTCTTCGTATAGTAGCGGATATATTATAACGTTCTGAAAACCGATGGTAGCGAGTGATTAGGGAGGAGGATACCTGCTCAGGTGACATCAGATGGAAATCCCATATATATACAATCCACCGATATCACTTATATCGTTGATTAAGTATACATATTTAATCAATGCTTACATTATAGTTTGTTTACACGTTTTGAACGTTAATCGTTAACATGCACGTTCAACGGCGAGGGTACGATCTATATCCCAAAATAGTAATTTGACGGTCGATATTATGGTAGAGCAATACATTTTAAGACACGCTAAGAAAACTATAAAATATGTAAGAGTGAATGTATATTTTCAACGGAACGATTATTCGGCATTATGATATAGTACAGGTATTCTAAATTATTTCGATACATTTTATAATATAATATACCTACTCGTTATGCGCTAATTCGACCTATATATACCCAAAAGTATAACCACCTTGGACACATATATTATCACAAGTAGACAATATTTGGATGAGTATAAGATAGTTTGATATGTGGTTTTATACAATAGAAAAAAAAAAGGTCTTCAGTTTTTGTTTTTTTTTTTGCCACGTACGTGTCATATAATATGTGTTTTAAATTACTTCGTCGAAGATTCCGATGCGAATTTCATATGCTATAATATTAACATTTTATGTTTAGGTAACATACACACTGGACACAATATCGAAGACGAATGTTGTAGTTATTACTTGTATTCGTTTTAAATGTCGAATTCACATAAATGTATGATTATGCGTCATATTCTGTAAACGAAAAAAAAATATGAATCCGGTGAATCCCCCCAGTAAGTCGAAATTACATTCTCAAGATGTAGTATTTTTCCCCAACATTAATGTTAATAATACAGTTGATACCTAATGTATTATTATTATATTACGTTATATTATACTAAATCATCACGACATTTGATTGCGATACATCAACGTTACACCTATCATTTAAATCGACGTTTACTATGCAACTTTCTCATTAGTACCTATTGGCTATTACTATAGGTGTATCTTCTTAAATTCAATTTCACACGCAGTAACCGATAATGACGGACATTTGCGTTTTTTTTTCTTCTTCGAATAACTTAATAATAAACACTATTTTTATTTCTATGATTTTTATTTGTATTTATCATTAATTCATGTATAACCACTGTGAAGCTGTAACTGAACATTTGTAATTGCTATACATTATTTCATTTAAACTATAAATGCATTTTTAAATGTTGACGACTATGCCAATAATTTTATTATTGAAACACGGGGAATCGTAATTCAGATCAGGTTCCCGTTGAACTCTCTCAAAAACAGTCAGTACAAACAGAAAAATGTACATCCATCTTTAGAAAAACAGGGATTTTGTGTAAGTATGTAAATTTTTAATATTTTAAATAATATTGAACTCAAAGTGTAAATAATGTCATTACGTGTTTAAAACTGGTTTCAGAACAATGAGTAAATAGTCACGGTTAACCTTACTCAAAGTTTGATATTTGTTTCTATTAACTTCAGTGACATGGAATAAATTAAATTAAATTAAACATACCTATTACTTATCATAAATGGTTTTTGACTCTCCATAATTTACCAACTTCTAAATGTATTATTAAATACGAATTTATGTTCTTATTATAATTCCTTAAATAGGTAAATGTGTAAATTAAATGTTTTAAACTGTTCGAAGCTAATATTATGAACTTTAAGTATAATATTTTATAGCACCATGTACGGTTAACCAATCAACGCGAACAACCGATTAAATAAACATTAATCAAACATATAAATTTCATAATAAATTACTGTCTACAACTAACATGTAAGCCCCTAATATAATCGCATTAATTAATGGGTTTTAAAAAATCCGTATATGATAAAACAATTAAAATATATTATTTAAAATCGAAATAAATATTATTTATTAATATATTTTCAGAAATAATTATAAATTAACAATGGTTTGTCGGCTAACCAATTTCTATATTTTTTTAAACATTTTCTTATTATATTGATACGAGCGATTGATTTAACATAATATGATTTTGTACCAATTCTATAAGTTTATATAGTGGATTTGAAATATTAATAATTGGATAACTATGTGTATGCCTGCTAAAAACACTTGAAAAATGCACAAAATATTAAAATAATCATTATTGTTTCATTTAAAAAATTTTAAATGGGAAAAAGTGCTTAATAATTATCGTACAATTTAGATAAATCAAACATTGTATTATTATTATTATTATTATTATTATTACAATATGTTAATTCACGAGCACCGATAATATGTCGGTGGGTAAAAATAGTAATTTTGCATATTATTATATAACTATTTCGCATTACTTTATAGTTTACACTATAATATTATTATACCTATAGCTACCCTCCAATATTATATTATTATGTACATTGTACATCGCGAGTGGAGTTTGTATTGTAGATGTAGCTCGACGATGTATCATATTATATTATTACAATTTTAAATCACATTAAATTTGATTTGTTTCAGCGTTATTATAAAACGGAAGTGGTATAAATACTATATATAGGTGTAGAAATCCCGTACCACGTCTGTACTATCCGGACAAAACAACTTCCAGTGGTAATAATATTGTAAATCGTAATAAATGGTTACACACACACAAATAAACCTTACTAAACTAACCTTTCAAATGTTACCGCGGAAAATGCCTTTTTTTTGCGGGAAGTTCCTGGCGCGCTTTATTTTTGTATCAACCCACGTGTACTATACGTTCTGTACGTCTATAGGTACACAATATAATATTATTTAAAATGTATATCGCTGTACACATATGGATTGGTTTTTTATTCCGTGTTATTATTATTATTATTATTATTTTTGTTGTTTGTGTTTGTTTTAACGTTTATTTTTACGATAAACCAACATCAGCTATAATATTTGAATTCGATAAATTATTATTATCAATTACAATATTTTCAAAGTTCATACCTGTTCATCATAATATATCATAGTAATGATTGTAATATGTGTAATATATCGTTACGATGGGGGTTTTTTTAAATTGATTTACCTATATTATTTACGAGTATGAGTGAAAATGGTGTACATGCTTAATTAGATTTTAATTACGATTTTAACTAAACACACTCGTTGGTCGTGTTTACAGGTAAATAAGATAATGTGGTGTTGTTCGTTAAAATATCATTATTATTATTATTATTATTAGTTTACAATTTTACATACAATATTCCGTGTTTCAATCCCTAAATTATACTATGCGTAGGTGAATACCAATATGTATAATACAATATCTTTAAAATATTTACTACATGTTTTGCACAACGCTACTCTATGATATACAATAAATAGGTACCTAAGTATTGTGGTGTTTTGTAGGTTTTACGCGTCTCTAATAAGTTAGCCTAGTTTCAAAAAAATCGCAAAACCCATATTATTATCACAACGCAATAATATGGTAAGTAGCTACGATGAAACTCAAAAAAAAAAAAACGCGTTCGACGACTCCGTTATTCGAGTGAAACCAAATTACTAAAGTATAACGACATCAAAATTGGATCTTACCCCGTTCTGAGATACGTCGATCACTTCCAAATCCGGCCGTCGGTCGATCATTTCGGACAGGCGTCGTCTTGGTCAGTGTGAGGAGAATAGACGCGATAACGGCAAAAATTTCAAAACCGTTTCGGCGGGTCTCGTCGTCGTCGTGGCGGGAAACGAAAAACGAAAACGATTCGAATTCAAGCGGTCAACCTGCCGACCGCCGGCCAATCGAACATTGTACGCGGAACATTATCGTCGGCGGAACTGCGTACGGTGCAGCAACCTTCTCCCACCCACACACGCACTCGCGATTCTAAAAATATTATTGTTTCGAGTCAGATTAATGTCGACAATATCCAAGACGGTGTGAAGATGACGATAGTAATAATGATAAGAATAAAATAGTAATTATTGACGATAATAATATTAATATTAATAATAATAATAATAATAATAATAATAATAATAATAATATTAATTATAATAGTGTATACGGGATGTGAAAAAGTAACGAGGAGAAGTGAAGAATGAACGCGACGCGTGTACGAGCCGAACAGTGAAACACCTCCGTCCGCGGAAGACGCACGTTAGCGTGTGCCGAGGGCAGCGGCATGTGATGGTTTTAACATAACTAGTTGTATGCGTGTGCGTGTGCCGAGCGAGCGAGCGAGCGAGCGTGAGCGTGTGCGTGTGTGTGCGCGCGTGTATTTGCATGCGACCGCCCTCCTCCTCCCCCACCACCTGATCCTCATGCAACTCGTCATTCACCGCCACCGCCGCCGACGACGCCGCATCGCTAACCCGCCCCCGCAGGTTCCCCGCCGCCCTTCACACGTCACGCCACCGCCGCCGCCGCCGCCGCCACGCCACGCACGCCACTAACGCCGTCGTCGCGGCGGTGGCGGTCGACTCGGCGCTATGAGGCGGCGTCCCCGCGCGCGCTTCGAAACGTCTTGAAGGGTTGGCTACTTGGCTGACCCGCCGCCGCCGCCGCCGCCGCCGCCGCTCATATTATACGCGCGTGCATACGACAATAATAATAAAAACAAACGATATAAAAGCGCACTCGGCCGGTCCACTCGTACTCGAATCGTCTCGTTTTTATCAAAAATATTTCGCGGCGGTGGTCGCCGTACGTCTGTCTCTGGACACGGTGTCCGTGCCGGCGTTCGTCGGACAGTGTAACCCGCGCCCACCGGTGACCGTCGTGATTTCGGGCCTGGAACGCGAGCTGCACGCGCCCCGCCGTGGCGATTAAACCGGCCGAGCGTCGTTCACGCGCCGCCTGTGAAGATTTTTGCGCGTCCGCGTGTCCTGCTGTCTCCTGCTGCACACAGGGGCATAACTGCATGACCATATGGCTTGCAGCTATTATAATGTATTATCGCACCGTTCGTCGCGTCGTGTGCATTTTATTTTATTCTGCTTGGCCATCGTAATCATGAAATAATATGGTATACCGATCACTGACCACGAACTACCGTGGAATATCCAGAGTTGGGCCGAGATACAGAACTTTAGAGCGTGACAGAATAGACGACGTATAACTTACCGTGAACCCCCTTGTTGTAATAATAGTAAATACAATAATTCCTAGCAAAGATCGCAGTGGCCACTGGCCACTCGTCCAGAGGTGTTATGATTATAGAGTCTTGATTTACAGTCTTGGCTATGCTATAGACTGGTGAAAGTTGTGTTTTTTAAAATTGTTTTAAAATTTTAACGTTGTGTCTTTAAGAATTACAGACGACTACTGTCATATTAAGTGCATATATTTACGACGTAATTCATAGTTTATACGATATCATCGTAATTCTTGAAGTCAAGACACCGGTAACTTTGATTTTTGAATATTAATTGTTGAGAAAAATATCTCGTGTAAGGTTAGGTTATGTAATGACTCGTGTCAAAAGTGTAAATATAATAAATGAATACAGCAAATGTCGTTCGATATCGCATTAATATACTTGAAGAATAGCTGTCGATTAAAAAAAAATCGCAATGGTTATATTGGTATATTATTATGTCCAGTTTAAAATCCACACTGTTCCTCATAATATTATTTAAGTGTAACCTAATACATGTTGTCCACATGGACACTGAAATGGTCAGCTACGGAATAATAGTGTGAGGTCGACGTTATGAGCAACAAACATGAAAAATATGGGTACGCAGAAAATAGGAAATCTACCGACATATGTAGTTGACTTCAATGGAATAGAATAACAACTACCTACCACAAGTCATAAAGTAAAAAAAAAAATTTACAATTTTTATAATAACAAGGTGTTTTAATAGCTAAAAATGTATGCAAGAATTTTTTTTAACAAACACAATAATTTCAAAAGGAAATGAGTAATTTTTATTAAAATCATCTTGTACAATAAACACTATGACTATACATATGGTGTTGAAATTGTACGCAGAGAGATTATTTCGAACTCAGACCTATTCAAACAACCACAGGCCTGGTTCAAAGGGTAAGTATAATATAATGTATTTTATTTTATTCGTATGGTTTCACAACGTTCAACAAACAAATAACTATAAAACGTAATAATGTAAATACAATACATAATATAAAATTAGTATAATAATTACTAATTAGGTTGGACATAATTCAGTCTCTGCAGTAGTTCGTAACTTTCGTCAGTTGAAGACTTGTGAAGGATAAGAGCGTTACCGTATATCCTAGTGGGGCATTTAAGATTTGATTTATACCAATGAACGAAGGGATATTGGTTGAGCCGGATTATTATTAATAATAATAATAAATAATACATTTTGAACTATTAAATTCCCTATTTATGTATATATAATTAGTACTAAATACTATTGTTTGTTTATTTTTGTAAAAATATTTTTGTTGTTATTCAACAGACGCAAAAACGATAAATTTATTTCGGTCTAGACTGCCTACCTAATAATAATACTTTTTTCGACTAAAATTATTTTCTTGTATTTTTGTTTTATTTAATTCTCTTGGTACCTGTATTGCAAAAATGTTATTAAAGACAAGACGGATTAAGAAACATTCTTAAGTTTTTTTTTTTTTAAAAAGGTCTAATTTCTTATTTTTTCTCAATGTTTTATACTGCATTATAGTAGGGTTATGGAATACGTGAATACGTTTAGTATTTTAATACATATTATTATACAAATATAATATTTCGTAAAGTCGCTAATAAATGTTTTTTTTTTATAAAATACGTATCTGTATTCATTGTTTTAGTCTTTTCTAATATAATGTTTGGTACAGTATAGGTAACTTCAAAGCTTATATATTTTATAATAATTAGGTATTCGTACTCGTACATAATATTTAATAGGTACACACGCAGATCGGTTGATCAATATTACATAATATTTCATAACCCGTTAAATATATTTCAATGTGAATAATTTACCGCAATTATTATTTATTATATTTCTGTTTACATACGTTGTACTACACTGTTGAACTTCTAACTCGAGGTACTAAATCTCGGATGTTTTATTTGTAATGTTCAACGTAACTAGGGTTGTGTAATTTCCGGGAAAGTATCTTGCCGGGTATTCACTAGAAAGTTAAGGGATGGCCGGGAACATCGAAAAATTCACTAGAAACAATTAGTATTTCTTCAATATGTAGATTCATGACGTACTTCAATTAGATATTCAAATTTTTGGATAAGATACACTACAAAGTTTAATTATATGTGAAAACAAATTATACTGAAGTTTTGTTTTATTTAATAACAAATGTAATTTAAAAATTAAAAAAAAAAAATTATGCATATTATTTTATTATATTGTCATATGCGTTTGTGTCCAGTGGATTTTCATAGAATTTTATTTTAAAATAATTATTTAATATCTAAAAAAATTTAAATTTAATAAAGTTTAATCAACTATGATTTATTGCATGTAAAAGTATGTGAAATGCATAAGATATGCACAAGAATTTCACAAAAATGCCTGTTTGATTAACTTTAGTACCTAATTTTAGCAGTGTTTTGTGGTCTTAAGCCAATTATACACGAAGTTCATATTGCATATTGAATTTTATTAGAACTCTTATTTATACTCGTATAAAAATTTGCATCGATGCTATTAAACGAAGTCACTGAAAAATTAGAAATTTATGTTGTTTGTAGCTTTTTGTTTTAAATATAAAATACGATTAAAGTATGAAGTTAAAACGTGTCAACCATTCTAAATTAATTGATAAACTGGTAAATATTAACATCCACGTGGCACTTGTCACAAGTGGTATTACACCTCAGAATAATAGTTGTTCTGTATTTAGCGGTTATAAAGCGACGCAGCATTGTAGCTATTAATCGCATCATAAAAATTAAATACATAACAGCTACAGCTAAGATGCATTCCCTCTGAATGACCAGAATTTCTTAACTACAAACTTAAACATCGAGTTGAAGGTCAATAATAATAGTTAAATTACATAATTTTGGAACCATTTACATTAGTTACTTCATCGAATAATATTTATTTAGTCATGGACACCGTTGCTCTTATTATAATAATGTGTACTTTTATTATATTATATATATAGTTTTAACTTAAAATTATGAAGTTTGTAATATTAGAAAAAATCGACTTAAAAGTATACAGGTTTTAATTTTTATATTCTCGTAACCCTCTGGGAATTTTCGGCAGCACCAACCCTAGTCGCGTAATACGTAACAATGGTAATAAAAATGGGTTGAAATTTAATCTCGTACCTAGATATTTATTATTTCTCCATACCTAGCGTTTTATAATTGTTATTGGTTTATAACAACATACCTACACATTACACGTATTTATAGTAGCGAGGAAGTAGATAGTATATCGTCATGTCAGCACGTACGTATTATAATATTATAAAATATCTTTCTGTACATTAAAATCGATCGATTTCTTCGATGAATCGGATATCAGAAGATACGCAACTGTATACAGAGCTACATATGTGTACGTAATACATACATATAATATACATAATATTATTATAATCACATAATGCAGAGTACAAATCATATAAGCATTGGTATAATCATAAGATTATCGTATACATATTTATCCAATCACTCAATGCGTTGTACGACGAAACGAGAACGCGAATAGAAAATATGGACTAATATTATATATAATATGTACTCATGAACAATTGAACACTGACCTCGACCGGACTATTAATATTTGTGTACATTTGATACAAGTATTTTTTGTTATTTTTTTTTTATTATTATTATAACTATCATTATTAATAACATAATAATATCTCTGGTGCATATAATTTGTAAATATTCTTCCGGTTTTTAATTATATAGATATGTCTATAAACTGCTGTGAGATCAGACTACTATTATAATGCGTGTACATGCGTCCATTTACCAGATCGCCATCAATCATCGTACGATATTAGCTATAGTCGTTTCGAAAAATACCGCCGCCGTGGCGCAAGCATAATAATATATAATACCAAACCATCTTTTTGTATTCCACCTCAAATGAACGGTGAGGTTTTGTGTCGTGTGAAATAATATTATTATTATACATTTATGTGGGCGCACAACCGACGAATCGCGAAAGTACACTTTTACGCGCAGAGTTTTTAGTATTCTTAATAACGCTAAATATCAATACTCTCCCCCTACGC